TTTCTCGTTGTCCTGTCCTCAACCCTGCCTCTCTTCTCCCTATCGCATCTGTTTGGGAAGCACATGATTGTCTTACTGTAACCGCCGAGCTTTCTACCCCCCGAATTGATTTAAAGGATACCCCGCTTCATAACCCCGATCTATTATTTTATGTAGATGGGTCCTGTCTTAGAAATCCGTGGGGTTTGCTTGTTGCTGGTTATGCTGTTTGTTCTCAATATGAGCCTGTGGAGGCCTATTCCCTCCCGGAAGCCCGCTCTGCCCAGGTTGCTGAATTGATTGCTCTTACTCGAGCTTGTATATTAGCAGCGAAAAAATCTGTTACTATTTATACGGATTCCCGGTATGCATTCGATGTGGTCCATGATTATGGACAACTCTGGAAACACCAAGGGTTTCTCACATCAAAAGGGGGAAAAATTTGTAATGGACCTTATGTTGAGGCTCTTCTCTCTGCTCTGCAACTCCCTTCTATCATAGCAGTTGTGAAATGTGCTGCTCACCAAAAACCCTATGATGATGTTACTAGAGGAAATGCCTTGGCAGACGCTACTGCCAAGCACGCGGCCCTTTCTGGGTCTCCGGCTTTAATCGAGTCTGTTTTTGTTTCACAACTCCCCTCCATAGCTGCTACCCTTCAGGATTTAGCTATTATGCAAGATTCGGCTCCCGAGTCTGAAAAAATAAGATGGAGGCGGAATGGTTGTTTTTTATATCTGGATAACTTGTGGCGCTCACCTACTGGACGCTTGGTAGCGCCCAAGGCTTTACTCCCCTATCTTGCACGTGTGGCCCATGGTATGGCTCACGTAAGCAAAGGGGGAATGATTGCATCAGTATTGCAGCATTGGTATGCCCCAAATTTTCCTATAATGGCGCAACAGTATTGTAACTCTTGTTCTACCTGTCTAGCCCACAACAGTGGCAAACCGGTAAGAACCAGGCTTGCTGGACATCCCGCCCCTTGGGGACCCTTTGTGAATATTCAGATTGATTTTATTAGCATGCCCAAATGCTGTTCTTATGAATATGTTCTTGTTTGTGTTTGTATGTATTCCGGATGGATAGAGGCCTACCCTTGCGTAAAGGCCGATTCTCTAACCGTAGCAAAAAAATTGTTAAAGGACTTTGTTCCCCGATTTGGTCTGCCTGTCTCAATTAACAGCGATAGAGGTACCCATTTTACAGGCCAAATCATGCAACAGATTTTCAAGGCTCTCAACATTCCCCAGCACTTGCATTGTGCTCACCATCCCCAGAGTGCGGGGGCAGTGGAACGGAAAAATGGGGAACTGAAGAACAAGATCTCTAAGATCTGTAAGGAAACTGGTTTAAAGTGGCCTGATGCCCTTCCCCTCACTCTCATGTATATGAGAAGCACTCCCTCGCGTAAGCATGGTTTATCCCCACCTGAGATCCTTATGGCTAGACCCATGAGGATGCCAGTATCCCCTCCCCCACTCCAACACTACTTGGACTTGCAACTGAATGATGATACCATTATGACATATTATCAGACTCTAATAAGATGCATCAGATCTCTTCACAAACAGGTCCAAAGTGCTCTGCCTGAACCAGCTGATACTCCGTGCCACCCCTTGCAGCCTGGAGATTGGGTTTATATAAAGGTGCACCAGAGGAAAACTGCTTTGGAGCCTCGCTGGAAAGGCCCTTACCAGATCTTGTTAACCACCCACACTGCGATCAAGTGCAAGGGACTAGCCAACTGGGTCCATGCCTCACACTGCAAACAGATATCGCCACCTTTAGACCCAGACGCCGAAGAATTCCATCCTGCAAACCCTGTTTTAGGAAACAATTTGGACAGTGATTGTAACCCCTCCCCCGGCTCTGATAAGGAACCCAGATATAATCTCAGGAAAAGACAATGGGTCAATTTATCTCCAGCCTGAAAAGGCCAGAATAACGCCTTTACAAGCCCAGTGGTGAGCCTAGCGCCCACTGGCACCTCAACTACCATGACCGACCCAATGGCTAGAAGGAAAGAATCAGCCATGGTACGAAAGTGGCTCATGCCTTCTATTTGGTTTATATGTGTAACTATGATTTTATTATTATTGTTGAATTTTCATGATACCTTTATGTTTTTCTGGGCACCTAGGATCTCCAGCACCTCCTTGATAACATCCACCCCCGTGTCTGTGAACCAGTTTACAAAACCACTAGGTCAAACCCAACAAGTAACCACCCCTCAAAATTGTATTAAACCACGACCACCACCCCGTGGGAAGAAAAGAAATACTCGCTCTGCCAAACCCAGCCAGGCCCAAAATTTTGTAACTATAAAGGACATTAAAAATTGGCCCTGGTATAAGAAACGAAGTATTATCCATTGGCAGGGAGGGACTTGTGGAGGTCACTCTTGGGAATGTGGCACAGATTGGATCTTGGGTTTTATTCCACAGGCTGCACCCTGTGTTTTTGGGTAAGTACCATCAGCATGTATT